ATAGATAAATAAATCTTAGACTGGCAGTCTTAACACAACAACAAAATGGACTCTAGTTGCTGGAAGATGATAAGTGTCAGAGAGCAGTTTTGCACACACTGGCCTGAAAGGATTGTCAGGAGAAAAGAGGTGGATGTGGTGAGCAGTCCTGCCCCAGATGCCTACATGCGGGTAGTAGATTCTTTCTCCTTTCTCACTGCCATTTTTGCCCCTGGTGAATTTCAGTGGAAAGTTAGGGAGGTTGATCAGAGAGAAGTATTGGGTTGTCGGAAAAGTCATGACGTATTTTTTTTTCTATGTTTTGTGTTGCAAAAATGCGTCATGACTTTTCCGACAACCCCATAGCACTGTTAGGGTCAATTCTGAACATGGTTCTTAGTGCGTGCCACATGTGGCAGTCCTGCTCGTGTCTTTTTCTCTATTTGGAGCATAAAGTATGGCAGAACATTACTTTCTTGTGAAAGGTCAGTGTTTTTTTGGCTAGTTCTATGAAATTCTGGCAACTGGTATGAAACTTTAAAGCATAGACAATGGAAGTAAGGATTACTGCCTGTCATTACCCCAATAATTTGACATTTCTGAAATTTTCACAGCCATTTCCTCTACACTCATGCCCTCCATGACCCAAGGCACTTTCCTCACCCCCAAATAAAATTGCTATTCTTATAGCAATTTTAAAGATGTGAAGGGTGTTGGGGGTTTTATTTGGTCAGAGAGCTAGAGTGAGTGCTGATTATTAAAAGCAAAAGGGCATTGTTTTTAAATGGCTGGTATTCCTGGTCTTTTGAAAGTAAAGCAGGTGAATATACAGTATTTGATTCTTGAATCTATACAAAGGGGAGGGTAGAATGAGAAGACAATGCAGATGAGCGGTTGTGTTTTCTCATAGTACTTCCTAAATTTGTGGATCAGTTTGCAGCTTCTATTGGCACTTAGTTTTATGGAGTTGAGGAATATTTTTTTAAATTATAGGTATTTCTTAGAAGGTGGGTGCAGTGGATATACTGCAACTGAATGGTTTTTTTTGTCAATAAGGTGGTCAATCCTTGGAATTTGGGGTGCCACGAGGAGAGGCAAGTATGTGTAAAGCTTGTTTGTGTGCAGGTAAATTAGGAAAGAGAGCAAGCCCAGGGTCAAAAGATGTGAGAAAGTGGAGAAAAGTTGTGGGTGAAGGAGGAGATAGTGAATTTCCTGTTGGATAAACTGGATCATGATCTTGGAAAGACAATGCCAAGAAAGAAGTTCTTAATTTGAAAAATTGGTGCCATATGTTGTGCAGCTTCTGATAAGCTAAATGTGTATATTCATTCAGAGAGGTTAATTCTGAGCAAGCTTTATACTTTATAGAAATTCTGGTAATAATGGAGGTTCATTGTTCAGCAGTCACAAAACATACTCTCCTGTGTGCACTGACGGGTTAGCTTTGTGTTTCTAAATTCTCGTACTTCCCTTACTTATAGCCTCAATAATTCTGGCAAATCTGCCTAGGAACCAAATCTGTCATAATTGGATGGGCTGCTTCCTAAATTAGATGTGGTAGACTTGAAGTATATTTTTTCTAAGCAAAAAAACCTGAACATCATAGTGATTCTTAATTCTCAGTCATGTATTTTGTCCTAAAATAAAATTGTTAGAAGCTGAGATATCAGTGAGATTATTCATTTCTTTTGAAAAACAGTATTCGTTTATGGTAATGGATAGCATGTGTTGTCCTGTATAATTTTATAGAACAAGGAAAAGAGACATTACTTGATTTTAAATGACTACCCAGAAGGAATTTTGGAATTAGGGAGTCTTAAGTATTTTGAAATTTAGCCTTGATTCATAAAGCCAAGCTAGAGAAATGTCATGTCTAATAGAATACATTCTATAAAGCAGATTACTGGACTATGAGATAATGTGGTCAGTTTTATATCTATACTAAATACAAAAAGTGTATCCAGGCTGTTGGCTCTCACTAATTATCAATCTTCATTTTGTAGATTATACATTAACTCAGTGAAGGGACTAAGTCTAGAAAGTAGAGAGCTGCAGGGAGCAGCAGAGAGGTCTAACATGACTTAAATGTGATTATATTCTCTACTTGATGGATCTGTCACATCAATTGGGTTGTCAGAAAAGTCATGGCACATTTTTGCAATGAAAAACAGAAAAAATACGTTATGACTTTTCCGACAACCCAATAGTTCTCCACATATTGCTATTAAAAATAGCAAACATTAGGGCCGGCCGAGTGCCTCAGTCGGTTAAGAGCGCACTCAAGAGTTGCTCTGAGCAACAGGATCACCAGTTCGATTCACAGCCCGAGCTGAGCTGCCAACAGAGGTTGGCAGGATGGCTCCGCTAAAAATAAATAAATAAATAAATGAATAAATAAAAAATAAAAATAGTAAACATTTTTGAACATTTACTGGGGGCCAGCCTGTTGTCAGGACTTTACATGTATTAAGTGCCCCTAGGATTGTTACTGCTGTTAATTCCATGTTAGGAATGAGAGGCCCAAGGCACAGTGGGGTTGAAGGACTTATCCGGGGTCCCAAGCCTAAGTGTGGAGCAGACCCTTAATCACCGTGCTATTTGTCCCTGTTAAAATAATAGGTGGATTTTCTAATGGCGTGAAGAATGAGCTTTGAATTTTAAAGAGACAGTTAAATTTCTGACAGTTATTCAGATAGTGAATGCTTTATCTTTTTAAATGTGTTCTTTCTTAGTACAAATTAGTTTACCGCTGTATAGATTACTACCCAAGAAGCACATTTATGATCATCACCAGCACAACTAGAGATAATGCATGAAATGTGCTTCTCTTTGTTCACGACGTAATGGAAGATTTGTAAATTTTAAATTGTACTCCTAGTCTAGATTTGTAATGTAAGAGAGTAGGTATTTACTGAGTGTCCCTTATGTGATGAAGCATTATAGTTTGGGTCCCAGGAATGTGATGAGGAAACTTGAACTGCTCTTCTAAGTAGGTGCATGTTCATTCTTGCCCACTTTATAGATTCCAGCCGTGGGTCAGGAAGATTAGATCACGACAGAGCATGTGTAGGTTCCTTACCCGGAGCTTTTTCAAGGGTTGACATGAAAAACATGTCTGCCTGTTCTCTAAAATCTCCTTGGAGATACTGTCTGATTTGTTTACTGTTCCTATAGTTGGCTCTATTTTATAAATAATTCACATACTTTTGCACTTAAGTGTCCACCACCCCCACACTAATGTGCTTCCTTTATCAGATGAAAGAAGTGTCCCAACACATTGGCTAGCGTGGAGGAACAACTAAAGAGAGATGTTTGGAATTGCTGCGATTTTCACCTCTTTTTCCCTTCTCTCTTGGTGAAAGACAATTTGTAGTACATTTTGTCTCTCTAAGGGAGACTTGAGTACCCAGCTGGTTAGATATATTTAAAGAAAGAAAAAAAAAATCTCTTTTAACAGACCTTGAAGAAATCTATTATAAATTTGAGTGGGAACCTGAGAATGCTGTGGCATACAGGCAAAACTAATTAAAATAACTGATAAAAAAAATCAGATGTAGCTTTACATGGGATTTTCAAGGTTAAAATGTACGAAAATTATGTTAATAAGCTCTGCTTTTAACTCCGTAAACTATAGGAATTCGTTCCTTTGTGCAGTTTGAAACTACCATCACCTATGCCCTCTAGTGCATATTGGATGAGTTTGACAGTAAAATTTTGTGCTGTGCTGCCTGCCTCTGCCCTAGTCACTGCAGAGATTTTTGGTGTAAGAGCTCTCTTAGCTTCTCCGATCCCATTGTCCCTGGGGGTTAGGAAAAGGGTAGCCTTATTTCTTCCCACCTATCTGGTCCTGCTGCAGTGCTCTGGGCCTGAAGAGGCAGTAAGTCCATCCTGGCAAGCATGGCAGATTCCTGGCAATCAGCTCCTCAAGGCCAGGGCAGCTTCTGCCCCACTGCTGCCCAGGCATAGCATTCTGTCCTGGGGATGTCTACCTATGCCAACTGAGGAGTAATAGTCAAACACCTTGCCTTCTTTTCCCCTCTCCTTCCTTAGTGAGCTGGCATCTGGGGTAGAGGAGGTCATATAAGGATCCTGGAGATCCCAGCATGGTGAGCACCTGTGGCCGTCCCTCTTAGGAGTGGTGTGCAAGGTGCTGCTGGGATGTCCCCCAGTGGGTCCCTGAGGTAGATGCCAGGTTGCTGTTGGCTGGGGATAGGCAATTGAGTGCCTTCTGGAAGCACCCCAGGCTGTGGTAGCAGTTTATACTGTTAGGGAGGTTGGGGTGTGGTTGCCAACCTTAGGCCCTGTGAACCCCTAGGACAGCTGTTTGTCCACTTGCTGAGGCTTGTGACAGAGCAGCTTCTTATTGCGTGACTGTTGTTTATTGGTATGGTGGCTTTTTAGCCAACCCCTTCCCTGCGCCCCCTCCCCCACTTACCTTTACTTTTTTCTTAGCCTAGTTTTGCCTGTTTCTGAATGAAGACAAGTGATGATTAGCTGCCCCCTTTTCAACTGGTACATTTGGCATTGTAGAGAACATAGTATAAGACAACTGTTCATTTCAGGTTTCTATATCTGTCACAAATGGTTTTTTAGGTTTCACATGTCAAAATTGATAAGTTACCAAGGAAAAGCTAAAAAAAAAAAAGACATTCGCTTTTTACAGTATACACAATTTTAATAACAAAACTTTCCTGTACACTGCACTTTGTTACCGTTTCTCCTCAGACCCCCAGTGTAATAGTATTTTCTTCCCACCACCCCCGAACCCATTTGCCCACCCCCCAAAAAATGGCTCTTAAGGTTATTGAACACAATGTGTTTAGACTGTACTTTTGGTTTCCAGTCTCGGTGTTGATAGGAAAGTTCAACAAACATTCCATAGATAAAACTTTTTTTTTTTTAATTACCAAGGAAGAATAGATTAGTTGAAGGAGCAGCAGATGTTTCCAAATGTTTGTAATAACAGTATGAAAGCTTCAACCATCATTTTCTATTCGTTTTTTTGCCTTAACTTATTTACGTTTGCCCTAGGTTAGGAACAGAAATGTGTAATTATCTATGAATGGCCTTCTCACCTTTATCTTCTTCTGGTTGAAGCACTTGAGCCAATAAGATGAAAAGCAGTGCCTCCAACTGACTTTGGAGACAGGTCTGTCACTGTATTGCTCTATTAGAAAAATGGTAATGTGAGTCAGCTTCTAAAACTATTCTTTCAGAATTTCATATCGATAGCCACACTTTGGAGAGAACAGGGCATTTACATTTCCCTTTCCCCCGATAGCTCTGTGTAGGAAGTATGCCTTAAGAAAATGATATGCCTGTTTTGAATTTTAGGATTCAGACCTAGTACTGCATGGGGCTCATTTTTATTGGAAAGATAGAGTCTAGCTCTTGGTGACTAGCATCAGAATAAGCAGATGGATTTTAATAATTAGTGGAGTTGGGAAGTTCAATCAATTCCATTCATTGAATTGGTACAGAAATTAACTTAGGCACATTAAGAAATTACATGTGTTAGTGCAGATTTTTGGCTTAAAAAATTAGTATCTTTGCTACTTGATGTTGGCAGCGGGTATTCTCTGTGTTGGTGTGTGGATTTGCAAATCTATCAGCCCACTCTCATTTCAGAAAGGTGATTGAAATCCCTGGCAAGCTACAGAAATGCATATAAATGATTCCAAACTAGCTCTTGGTTACTAGGTGGGCACAGAATCATAACCTTTTTTAGCTTTCCTTTTTCCAGAGAGATTTAATTATTTGCCTGGTTCTTGATTCAGTGGTCATTTTCCTCTAACCTTGAAAATGAAATAAAAGGGAAGCGGGGGGAGAGAGGAGACCAAAGGAGATAAAAGTAAACCGAGAAACGAAAGCCCTAACGTTGCATTAGCAGGATCTGCAGTGTAGCTGCGATGCTCTTCCACCCTCGCCAGCTGGTGAAGAGAGCACATACGACTAACAGTCTCATCTTCAAACCTGTGCTGATACCGAAACACAAACAGACCAAAATGAAATGGAATCCTGCCTTCTATAGGCAATTCAGAAGGGAAGTTTGCACTTTAATGAAAAAGGAAAATGCTGTTTGGCAATGTTACTCACTTTTCTCGGAGAGCATTCCCCCAAAAATGGAGGACAAAAAAAAAAAAATCAGTTCATTTTCAACTTGAAAGTATGCCTTGCTGGCCTTAGCTATGCTGTGCTTCTGAATTACTAAATGGCTTGCTTTCCCAATTTTCTACATACATTAAGGATTTTGCTGATGGATGGTCCATTTTACTAACTGTAATTTCTAGGATTAATGTGGGGATACCCAGCCAATACTTTTCACCCTTCTACTCTCCGTCTCCATTAATTTTGGTTGTGGTTGAAATGTGGAAACTACTCCTTTGCTCTCCTTCAGGGCTAGTGGAATCTTGTGTGTTCAGGACACAGTTGTACTGTCACTGAGCTTTCCCCTGACAAATGGCCGTGGTTACCCTGATAAATGAGTTGGTAAATTTTAGCTTGTGGAGCTCTCATTTGTAATGGAAGCTCCTGATCCAGCCCTTCTGTAGGGAAGCAGTGAGCTGTGCTCTATGCTGGAAAGTCAGCCTCTGTCCCTGCCCCCGCAGGCCCTGGGGCTGGTTTAACAAGAGAGGAAATCCTGGCTGCTCAAGATCAGCTGAGCTCCGCTAGGCTGAGACTTTGCCAAACTAATCTGCCCACCTTGAAAATACAGAGAGCACATTTTTACCATAATACATGATCTTGCCTGCTTTTTACTGAGACACATTTTCTTTGAAATGTAGGTAGACATCCCTCTCTTGGTATTAAAAAGGAAAAGATTTAATTACAGTTGAATCTCATGGGTTAAACTATAGTCTTAACATGTTTTCAGTACAGTCCAGGGAAGAAAATATGCCTTGAATGAAGGATATCATGTTATGCCTGTTGCTAGCCAATTATTCTTAATTTGGCTCTTTGAGGTTTGAAGATCAGGAAAAGGCAGAAGAAAGGGGTTTAAACCCCTTTGTCAAGGCATCTTTGATCGTGACAGCTGAGAGAGAGGGGAGGGGATTTTTGTGTGTGCTTTCCAACTAGAGGGAGCAGGTCACAGGACTGTTAAGTTGACTCTTTTCTCTCCAAAATAAGTTCTAAACCTTTTTTCACATACAAATGTAGATATAGAGTTTAGTAAACTAATTAGTAAAATGGTAATTTAATACTAGTTTAAAATAATTGTCTAAATGCCACAAAAATCAACATGTCCATTATAAGTTAACCTAGAGATGTGAGATACAAAGTCAGTGTAATTACTTAGTATTGATTTCATTGTAATGAGACCTTTTCACAATCACTTGGATTCATTGTTGAAATAAAGAGTCACTTAGCTTATTAGAATTATATAAAGGGTTCTGATTTCATGATGTGGACTTTGATAATATCTATTAACCCAGGCAAGAACTCTGGAAGAAAAGTGTTTAATATTTACCAGTCTTCAGCATACATGAAATTCTACTTCCCACACTGGCAGTAAATTGTAGATTTGAGTAAATACCAAATTATCATACAAGAGAACTTGACTAAGTCTCCTTTTAAGCAGCAAGCCAGCTGTGGTACTTGGAATGGAAAGCAGTGATCAAACAAGTATTGATCCATACCTTCTCCTGCTCGGTAGTTTCTTTCCAAACTGTTTTCAGTAGAAAAAAATAGCATATGGAGACTTTAGTGTAAATGTTTACACTCAATAGTATATGATCACATACATGAAATGTCTTATTTTGAAGTAAGCATTTTTAGATTTTCTAACAGTGCAAATTAATGTGAGCATTGCTTCATTTAACACTTAAAATATGGTTTCATTAAAAAAAATTAAAAACACTTTAACACTTCAAAAACTTAAGTCTCCACTTGGTTCTGAAAATTAGGCTTAATGTCACCATTGGTAAAAATTAGATATTTATTTAGCCCCTACTATGTAAAATAGGTTACTTATCTGATGTACTTTTTGATGATGGGTAGATATTATACTTCACATTCTTTGTATGGCAGCTGCTGACACTTGCACTGTCCATAACCATTAATGATGATGAAGGGTCCTTCATGGGTGGGTTCATATTCATTATACGGTCCTTGGTCTGACATGTTTGACATATGGAGTCGTGTTTGGGATCGGAGCTGCCTGTGGTTCTGAATCATTGAGCACTGCCTAATTCTTCTTAAAGTGGGAGGGCAGCACTTCCTGGAGATGAACACTATAAAAATAATAAAAAAGAAAGAAAACAACAAAGCCATTGTTCCCGTAATTACCCGCTGAGTGAAGATGGCATTGTCTGGTTCGGGAAAGTGTTCCTCAGTAGTGACTGCTATGCCTGCAGTAGTTGGGATTTCTTTGTCTCCCACATGGTAACTTGATGAGCTTATTCTTTTTGTATATTCAGTGGTTGGATCTCTATAAGTTGTAGCCATGGCTGTGACAGTGGTTGATAAATTCCAGCAGAGCTGAAATCCATGGACTGCATCTAGTATATCCTCTCCTTGGGTGTGGTCGGGACTGTGGCACAGGATGGAATGCTCCCACCGACCTTGGAAACTGCCCAGCCAGGAGGCCAAAGCACATATTCGAGGGCTGCATTCCCACAGATTGCCAGAGAGGCCGACGGTTGTGAGGGATCTCAGGGAGTTTAAGATCTTGGAATCAAGGCTGTTTAACTTGTTGTTATCCATGAGGAGTATTTTAAGATTAGGCATCGTTTCAAACACTGTCAGGTCGATGGCTTTGATTTCATTTCCAGACAGGTCTAGCTTTTCTAAAGTGCCCCAGGTCCACTCCATCCCACATGTCAAGTTGCTGATTTTGTTCCATTGTAAGAAGAGCGTGTGCAGACTGCTTAGCCGTAGGAAATGAGCAAAATTAATCTTCGTCAGCTGGTTGTGCTCTAGGTGAAGCTCTCTCAGTTTGATTAATCCCGCAAATCCATTGCGAGCCAAACTTCGCAAACGGTTTGTGCTCAAATCCAGAAACTCCAGACTACGACAGTCCCAGAATAGGCGTACTGGGATAGTCCGCAGGGAGTTGGACCGTAAATGCAAGGTCTGCAGCTTCCGAAGGCCATAGAAGAGCTCTGGGTGCAGAGATGACAACTGATTAAAAGACAGGTCCAAATTTTGTAGGTTAATCAGTTGGGTAAAAGTTGTGTTTGGCAAGTAAAATATTTTGTTGGAACTTAAGATTAATTCCTTAAGTTTATATAGTCCTTGAAAAGCATCTTCTTTTACTGTTGAAATTTGATTATGGTCTAAGTGGAGCCAGGTAAGTTGACTGAAGCTGGCAAATTGATCCCTTTCGAGCTCTGTGATGTGATTGTGCCTCAGGGACAGGCCCAGCGAGCCCTTGTCTGTGGTGTTTGGCACCGAGTGGAAGCCCTGAGAGTCGCAGTAGAAGAGCAGCTTCTCACAGCGGCATTTGGGTGGACACGCCATTCCCAGGGCAGGCAGCATTTTTAAAACCATACTCATTGCATATACTGCTGCCAGCATAGGGGCCCCTAATGGCCACTTGAAATGTAAGCCTGCAGAATATAATTTAAGGAAAACAAGAAGATAGGATATTTTTCAGCAAAACGTATGAGCCATTAAAAAAAAAAACCAAAACATTATGGCGAAAAGATTTCACTGCATATCACTTATTTTTCATTTGCTGCAGAAAAGCTAACCTTGTTAGTCTGACTAGACCAAAACTTAAACCATTAAGAAAGAAGATAAAATATGTCCTGTCATCAGCAATATATGCTTTTACCTAAACCTCAGAATCCAAAAAATGACAGTGACTTCCCTCATAAAATGTGAATTCAGTGGCTTATGTTAAAAAGCACGGTTTCTTGCTGACTGTACAAGACACCGAAATGCATGGACTTACCCATTCTTCTGAGCACATTGGAGGCTGCATTCAGTCGTGGTTGTTAGACTCAACGCAGTGAGTCTGTAAAAGGCTCCAACATGCTGGAGCCTTGGACCAGTTTCCTGTTTTCTGTGTCCCAGGCTTTCTGAGTAAAATCGAATCCACCAGGGTGAGTTGTTTTTTCCTTAGGATATTCCTCTCAAAAGCATTGGTTTCATGTTCTGCGACCACTCTGATCCCTTAAATCAGTTTGGAATATAAGTTATTAATTTCGCCCTCTAACTGCTCAGCTGGTTAATCAAAGCGTCAGTCTCTCCTTCCCGCAGCTGTTAGTTCTCTCGGTCTTAACTTGTTGATGGCAGATGGGCGGCTTGTTGCAGAGAAGAGCTCCTGGAGCAGCATGAGTGCATTTACTGAAAAGCTTTTCCGAGAAACGGCACAAGAATGGATTTGCTTATGTGCTGCGACCACACAGAACTGTATATAGGCTGACGTCACCGGGTGACGTGTCTTTTGTTTGGGTTTTCCAGAAGCTTTACTGTTATAAAGCACTGTGCTTTGTAACAGTAGCGGGTCGTTGTAAGACCCTCAGTTACAATAAAGCGAGAAAGAAGAACTCCCGACTTAAAAACATGGTATTCCTTCAGTGAGGAAGCAGCCGTGAGGCTGTAATAAAGGCTGCATTCAAGAAGGCCGTCTGAACAGTGAGTTGGGTTAGCAGAGTGATGATTTTTAATGCCGCGAGAGCCAGTGTTAGACTGCCGAGTCTGCATAGAGAGATCCTCTAAATGGGCAGGAGCCTGCACGATTTATGAAGTGCTGATCTAACGCCAGCCTATGCGAGTTAGTGCCCGCTGCTCTGGTAGTTTGGGCAGCTATTCAATCACCTTGTTGTCATGCTTGGTTAAAATACAAGTGTGATTACGATTCACTTTCAGTGTGTTGGTAAATTAGATAAGTGGGTTTGGCTTCTTTGTCCTTAAGAGCTGAACATCATAAACCAAAAATAAAGAGGGTGGAAAACCAAAAAAAACCCCCCTATAAACCTCACAAAGCAAAGCATTTGGTTATTTTGCTCTTTGCATGCTTCAGGAAAACACTAATTTAAAAGATATCTCCTTCTCTGTTCTATTTTATAACAGTATTTTCTCACAGTGCTGAATGAAAAATATGCTGATTTTCCAGTCACTAGGAGAAAAGGGTGGGTTGATAGAGCCATTTATTACCACATGCCCTAAGTGTTAAGAGCGGAACAAATGATTTAGGGCAAGCGATACAGCACGGCTGGATTCTGACACGATCCCTTGTATGTACTTCAGAATCTCACCTATTCCTTCAACTGAAAGTCTCATCTGATGCTGGGACTGGGGCATTGTGGCACTCAAGTAATAGAGCATTTATTTGCACACTTAATAGTGCCTACTGGCACACTTAAGAGCTGACTTTGAGTCTCATACTAACTGTTGTTGGATTCTGTCTAGTGGATACAAGGGTTACTCATACTTTGGAATAGGATTTTTGCTTTGGCCCTTTTTACCTAACTCTATCTTCTCCCTGTTGAATACTGTCATCACTTTTCAGAGCTTGGTGTTAATGTATGGCTCCATGTTTAGTGTTGTATGAATGTGAAAGATATTTCTAGCATGAGTCAGGGTCATATTTTCAGGCCCGACAAAGGTAAGGCCTCTTACACATTGTCCCTTATTAATTTGGCCTTTCAGTTTCTCTCATACCATTGGTACTTATCCTTGTGGGTCTTGTCTCACACCTAGAAGCAGAAATCTCAAAACTACCCATGGTGTCTGTGAAACATCTTTGGTTTGTTGGCTCCAGGGGCTTCATTCCATTAGGCAAGCCTAAGCAGTCATTGTTTTAGGGGTACAGTGTCTGTGTTGGAGTGTGGTACCAGTGTGAGGACTGAAGGGACTCAGGCCTGTCTCTTCCTCAGGACCCTGTGTGAAGGTGCTGTGAATGGCAGCAACTGCAGGTGTGTAGTTTGAGTCCTTCTGGAAGCAGATCCCAAGATGGGATTAGAAGTATGAGTTTTATTGGGGGGAAATGCCTGGCAAGCATAAAGGAGGAGAGAAGACAGCAGGAATACCCTGAGGACCGATAGAGTCTTCAGACCACAGGGCAGATCCTACACCTTTGAAAGCAGAGCAGAGGGTCGTGGGGAAAGATTGGACAGGCAGGGTCTGAGACTGCAGCACATTTCTAAGACATTTCCTCAAGTCAGAATTGCCCATAAGTGGAACCCCACTCAGGAATGAGCCCGCACTAGTACTCCCATCATTTTCCTGCTTGCTGGTTAGCAAAGGGAGGGGGAGAGGTCCTGTTTTAGACCTCAGGGATGCCACTCCCGCCTCTGACCTTGATGCTTTCCATTGTCTGTCTCTCTATAGGCTATCAGTTCTTAACCTGGAACTTCTCGAATTTTGTTGCTTGTACATTTTTCTGTAAATAAGATCTAATCAGATTCTTACAGGGTCTGTGAACCCTCAGTTTTAGAGTTACTGTTCTACAGGAACTTCCCCCTCAAAACTTGCAAGGGGAGAAGCTGATAAGGGTGGTCTCTTTAATTTTTTTTTAAAGGAACAGAAGCCCTTGGGCTGCAATAAATGTCCTTATTGAAGTCAGACACCCTCTGATGAAACAAAACCTTTGCCAGGCAGGAGCTGGATTCAATTCTTCCCTGAAGTAACCACTTGAGTTCCATATGGAGAAAAGCATTAGAGTCCATTGGATCAGAGCAACCATGATTAGGAATGAGTCGTGTGTTAAAATTAGAAGGAAAAGCATCTCCTCCCTTCCCCGTAGACTCTTGGTTCCTTTCTGCTCTCCAGACTGCTTGGCCTCCCTTTTCTATACTAACGAATGGGAAATGCCTATATTACATTATTCCAGTGCCATTGTGACACATTTGTGGGCAAGGAAAATTGCCCGGAGAAGCACCAGTGCAATCAAGAGTCATTATTTTCTGATGCACCTGGAGAAGTGGGCAGCAATACAGTATCACAGTTCCCAGAGAGCACAGTTCCGTTTGGGTCACCAGCCATCCTGCTCACTCGCCCTTTCTTTGGGTTCAAAAGGTTCAGGTGGTGGAACCAAAGAAGACATGGTGTTTGTCTTAAAATTGGTGGAGTACACAGTACCCATTGATGGAATTTAGTATCAGTTTTTTGGATCTTTATCTTTCTTTAGCTAAAAGGACTCAACAGAAACAAGTGTTCTTTCTGAATTAAACTTTTCCTGGTTTCATTTTAGAGTAGCTTTATTCTGCGTACATACGCCTTTGACTTAATCAAAGTGGCAGTACAGCCTCTGGAATGTACTGTACATATCATCTGTTTAAATTTTCACTGCTTTAGTTGTTTGGACAAGGCAAAGGAGAAGTAAAATCTAAGCTGTCCATCTCTCCTCTCTATAAATGGGTTTAAGCAGATAAGGGAGTCAGGCGGCAGGGCTTAGGTGGTGTAGTTACCTGCATTCCTCTGCGTGAAAGTTTGTGTTTAATATGTGTTGCTGATTAGGGAGAATTATTTCCCTACTTGGAGAAGCAGATGTACAGATACACACATGGAATTTTCTGTTCTTTTGTGGTAGAGCTGGAGCTTGATTGTGCTTTATATTAAAAAGTCAAATATTTCTTTAATCACGCCCAACTCCAAAAATTGTCATACCCCAGCACCAGAGCTGTTGCACAAAGGTGCTCTGTACAAGTATGTTAAAATAAACCTGTTGTTGCCAGTCTTGATCGCTACTTTGAAGATTTCCTTACATTTATCAAAAAATGATAGTTTTTACAGTAGAGGCCCTAGATTTTGTGGGTCTGAGTATATCCCCTGGGATAAGAGCCTTTTGGGCTCCTTAGCTGGAAACCTCAAGACCTGTATTAGAGTAAGTGGGTATTTATAGTCTTTTTTTGGAGGAGGAGGGAAGAGGATGGGAGAAGATTATGGTAAATCCTAGAGTTGTTCACTGCTTTCAAACATGCACATATTTGGAGGCAAACATGTAACTGTTCTTTTACATTTTTGATTTGCTATTTTTAAAAAAAGGAAAAATCACTGGAGTTTGGTGTTAAACAGTAGCGTGTTATCTTTGAAAGAAACTGAACCTATGTGACTGAGACATATAGAATATGGAAGGATTGATGGCTTTACCCAGTCTGCCATGTTGGAGGTGGGCTAAAGCGAGCTGATCGTTGCAGGTAGAGCCAGATCTGAGAGCACTCAGAATTCCAGTCTCCAAGCCTTGTTGCTGTCACAGAGGACCGCTGTCCAGTGTGAATAAGTACAGTGTATTTGTGTTGCTGGGAATCTTTTCTTTCAAAGGCCTTTTTTTTTCTTTTGCTGAATACTCAGTGTTTATTGAGCTGTTTTTATTATTACCCCAATTAAATTGTTTCACCCCCTGAATATCACCTGTCTTTTATTCCTCCCATGCCCTTTGCTTCCCGAGATTCAAGTCCTTCAGGTGGGAGTTCCCATCTAACCATCTCCTCAGCCTCTAATAATCCATCTCTAAAGCCTTGTTCTCCTTCCTTCCAGCCTAAGATGAAGTGATCTTTCTTTGCTAGACTGTAAAAGCTCCCTGTGTTTTCTATTGTATTTCTTAAAAAATTTTTTTCTTTTCAGTTAGAGTTGACATTCAATATTATTTTACATTAGTTTCATATGTACAACATAGTGGTTAGACATTTATATAATTTATGCAGTGATCCCCCAATTAGCCTAGTACCCACCTGGCACTATATATCATTGTTGAAACATTATTGACTATATTTTTTATGCTGTACTTTACATTTCCATGACTTTCATAACTACTGATTTGTATTTCTGAATCCCTTCACCTTTTTCACCCAGATCCCCATCCCCCCTTCCCTCTGGCAGCTATCAGTTTGTTCTCTATGTCTGTGAGTCTGTTTCTGTTTTGTTTGCTTGCTTATTTTTGTTCTTTAGATTCCACATACAAATGAGATTGTATGGTATTTGTCTTTCCCAGTCTGACTTATTTCACTTAGCGTATTAGCCTCTAGGTCCATCTGTGTTGTTGCAAATGGTAAGACTTCATTCTTTTTTATGGCTGAATAATATTCCATTGTATATATGTACCACATATTTTTTATCCAGTCATCTATTGATAGGCACCTGGGTTGCTTCCATGTATTGGCTATTGGAAATAGTACTGCAGTGAACATAGCATATATCTTTTCAAATTAGTGTTTTGGATTTCTTCGGGTAAATACCCAGAAGTGGAGTTGCTGTGTTATAAGGTAGTTCTTTTTTTAAATTTCTTGAGGAATCTCCAAACTGTTTTTCATAGTGGCTGTACCAATTTGTAATGTCACCAATAGTGTACGAGGGTTCCCTTTGCTCCGCATGCTTGCCAACACTTGTTTGTTGATTTATTGATATTAGCCATCTTGACAGGTATGAGGTGATATCTCATTGTGGTTTTGGTTTGCATTTCTCTGATGATTAGTGACTTTGAGCATCTTTTCATGTCTATTAGTCACCTGTATGTCCTCTTTGGAGAACTGTCTATTCAGGTCCTCTGCCAATTCTTTAATTGGATTGTTTGGTTTTTGGGTGTTGAGTTATATGAATTCTTTTTTTTTTGTTTTGTTTTTTTTTTTTTAGCTGAGCCATCCTGCTACCTATTGGCAGCTTAGCGGCTGCTCAGCTCGGGCTGGACTCGAACTGCTGTTGCTCAGAGCTCAGAGCTCAAACTCTTGAGCGAGCTCTTAACCAACTGAGCCACTCGGCCGGCCCTATATGAATTCTTATAAATTTTGGATATTA